TTTAGATATAGTATAGTACTTGTATACTAATATTGAAACAAATTCGTTCAGTTATTTAAACGTGATTATATAACAATCATACAAACACCAAGACAAGCTTTCACTTTTATAATATCAGTAAAATTTTAAAGCTGAAATATAGCATAATATTCAACTGTCATAATGTTAGACAGTATACTATATACATAATATAACTGTTTAATCTTCAACATAAAATATCTTACATTATAACATACAAAGTGTATGCAATTAGGCATGCTAAGCAATTACCATATTTTTAAGAATGTAGGATTTAACCGCTTGACAAGTGCGGTGGTTGCTCGGTAGAATTTTTCAGCAAAATAAAAATATGCATAAAACATAATAAGTAATAAGTTGAAAACTTGCTTTGGCTATGATGAAGATACGGCTAAGTGAGTTAGGTAACTACTACATAAATTACACAAAAATTCTATTATCCGCATTTATTCCGTAATTTAGATAAACGGTACAAAATTTGCTTTCACGATTTTTCTACGATATTTTAATTGGATATAGTATTTCTGTTTACCCCAGGAAGATTGAGAAAATTGTTAATAACCGATCAAGTCGATTTGAACAAAGGGAATCCGAACTTAAAATAATAATATATAAACCTTTTTTGTTGTTTTCTTCAGATTTTTTTTTATTTATTAATCTAAGATAAAATTACCTTTATATAAATGTGTTTTTTGTGTTCTATAATTATATGAAACAGATACCTAATACATAGATAGTTAGATACTTTTTTGTATCTTTTATTGAAAACGTATTATTAACGCAAACAATTACAACCAAAGATCACACCTAATTATTGCTATTATTTTTTAATAAAATTCACATGAGATGGAGATGGCAAAATTACCTCTGGCAGAAACACAGTCGGCCGGAGTTCAGAGCAGCAGGGAGAGGAACCGGCAAACAATACGGGCAGTACCTAAGAGCGCCGCATTTTGCCTTTTTCTCGGGAGTGAGCCACCTCGAAATCCCAACTATCTGACATGTTGTTCTAGACTAATTGGGATAAGACCGTTCACCAACAGAACGATTGGAATGATTTCGGTGTACGTCACCCCCTACCATTTGGTCACCTCGTGAGCCAAGTCTATAAAAATATTCTTTAGTTATTTCTTTTGTAGCGAGATAGTACAGTCTTTTTCAACAAATAGAAAAAAAATACATCCCAATATAATTGGGTACGTTACATAGAAATAAATACTCACACTACTTAGATACTACTAACATATACTGCGCCCGTTGTATCCATTGAATAAGTTACTGTACTTCCATTAGATATTATGTGATATTGTACCGAAAAGACTGCCTTAAGGGCTCATTCATACAATACAACGATGCCGTCATTATTAACTGTTGCGAAGTTGATTGTTAAGGTGCAGTCACACCAAATTAACAAAGGTCATACAGCATGATCTAAAGCAATCTTATAGCTACTTACTTGAAATGTATAATCTAATCTAATCTAAAAACACTTACTTGTACTGCAATAATATAACTATCTAATATTCCCGTTTGCTTGAGAAAGTGAACAAAAAATATGTAGAATTTGTAGTTGCCGATTGCTTTCAAGTATGTTCGCAAAAAGTTTGTATACAACGAAAAACGAAAAAATGAACTTAATATGCAATATTAAATGCAGCACTTTAATCGATAATTATAATATAATAATGTAATGGTAATTATTGTAACAAATAAATTAAAAATAATAATTTTACTTGACGTTATTACTAAAAACACATTAAAATACCGAATCTCTCTTCTGTGTATTAGTTAAGTAGAGATAAAAAATACAAGACCTATCTTGCAGATTATAGAACTACTCTTGTTCTGTTCTTACACTTGTTAGTCCTAAAGTACTTTAGTTCTAAATCTACGAATTCTATATTCTCGTCTAAGATAGTTCTTACTTTTACTCTATACTTTTTGTGCTTTAGTGTAACTACACCTTTGCATGAAGCGGAGGCAGATTTAATAATACTTACCAGAGGCAGACCTTGTACAAAAGTTGTCTACTTGGATGTTCCTCTATCCTAATCATGTTTCTGATCTGAAGCATCTGCGCTTGCATGGTTATGTTGCGGCAAAGTTTTAGTTTAAATAGATATGACAATGAAATAACAAGCTATGGAAGTTATAATAATAATATCTAATTATCATTTTTATTTCTGACTACAATTTATTCCATTTTTTAATAGCAATTTCCTTACAAACTATGTTAGTAAAAAAAGTGAACGTACAACTAAAGCAATTCACTCAGATATGACCCAGCCGACTATCAAAAACTGAATGAAATACTTAATTATAGGCAAATTATATTTAGCGCCTATTACTTTCAAAATACTGTTGGTGCTTTGTTCTAACTCTGGGTAGCAATGATGCAATTTTCTTTCTCCTTATAACATCATAGTTCTTAGGAATGGCATTGCTGTTATGTGCATTTTGCTGTTTCTATCTATAACAATGGTTAACACTTCCCATCAACAACAACTTGTGATTATCTAAAATGCGTACCTAAATGACTTGAATTATCATATTCAGGACGGAATGCATCCTTAAGTACAATAATACAATATAATGGATAATATTCCATTTTGTATTCAAACGTAGAAAATTCCTCAAATATATTATTATCTGGGTTTCGGATCGACAGAACTCTTGATACATTCGCCGCGTACCCAGTAGACCCGCAAAAATATATTGTTAAAATTGCCTTTTATACCTAAGAGACGATTTCAATTTGATGTTATATATGTTTTAGAATCTAAATATTACTGAGTAAATTTTTGTAAATGGTAAGGTGTAAAATAAATAAATAGATAATATTTTCTAGATATTAGATATTATATATAGATTTAATACAATTAACATATAGTATTTTCACACAAAATACTATATTTGTAACGTAAGCAAAATTTTTATTCTATACAAAAAACAACAATTTTAATTATAATTTATATAGGTATAAACACAGAAATAAATTCTAGTATATAGTATGCATAAACACTTTCATGAAAAATGGACTAATTAATAATTAAGTTTTAGAACTGACAAAGGTTTTGTATAAACTACAGTGTACTCGTATGGAGGAATAACATCATCGTCATCAACATATTAACATATTAGCTGTCAACTGTCCAATGCTGAACATAGGGCTCCCCGTAGTGGAGGGTTTCGATAATAGTCGCTACGCTTGGAAGGCGGATTGAAGGCGGATCCCATCTCTCGACCATTAAGTTCCCTTAGTCACCTCTTACGACACCCATGGAAAAGAAAGGGATGGCCTAGTCTATACCAGGATCACGAGGCAACACCATAGTCCTCAGGAATGGCAACACATGAATATCTTAGGGTATTCTGTGATATCCATTTTGCTATTCATGTCTATAGGCAACAGTTACCACTTTTATCACGTGGGCCAACAATTTGTTTACCAATCTAAGAATAATCAAAAATACATAAAAAACATACGAATTTAGAAACTTTAATTTTTTTATACATCTTAGAATGGCAAACAAGCTGATGGCTCACCTGATGGAAACTGGTAACCGTCGCCTATAGACATGAGCAGTACCATGGACATAACAGAGTATACTTTTTCGCCCAATATACCCCCCATGCGTTGCCATTCCTGAGGACTCAAGTGTTATTCCTCTGTACCCTGTAAATTCACGTCATATCCCACCCTTCAAACCGAAACATAGCCATGCAAACACAATTGCTTTACGGTTGAAACACGAATGGGACAGAGGTACCCAAGCAATCGACTTTTGTACAAAATCTCCCTCTTTAAAAATTTATTTACAATGTTACACAAATATACAAAGATTCCATCAGATATAGTTTTAGAGATGATAATAGTTACTGAATAGTTCATTAGTGATGAATGAATGAATAGATTCACAAGTATTCAGTCTCATCATATTGTCTTTGAGACATAATTAGAATTGCGTAAAAATAGATCAGACCACAAAATAATTTACCGTCAATGATTTCCATTCAAGCGAATAACTAGAAATCTATTATTAATACATGTGACCGAAATAGATAAGGCAAGTAAATACCCCTACATTTATACGATTATTGTTAATTTTTTTACTGAACAACTTGCCTTGATGTTGTAACAGACAGATTGAAGTAAACACCCACCGACTCTAAATATTTTTGAAAATAAATATCTTATTAATATACAAGAACCTAAATAATTAGAAACTAAAATTAAGCCAGATTAAATTGGACTCAATCAATAGAGCATAAATTAGAGCAAATATTAATATTATTATTATTTTAGTACACATACAGTATGGTATTTATTATATTATGAGAGAACAATAAACTGTAACGAATGGTTGTGTTTCAGATTGATTGACTGCTGAATGTAAGCCTCCCTCATAGACTGCCATCAGGAAGCCATTGCCTGAGCCATTTGCATCCACTGACTCTCTAAAATGCATTTGAGGTCGTCACTCCATCTAGTAAGGGTCGTCTCACACTGCGTTCGTCTGTACAGGGTCGCCACTCTATAAACTTCCATAGTTGTATGATGGGTAAAATATGTATGGAATAAGTAAAATATCTGGATACAGAAGCCTACAATTAATCTTTAGGGCCATTTCTCAGAACTGACATTGCCATACACACAAGAGATACAATAGGTATTATGGTACATTCTGTGATGTTCATGGTACTATCCATGTCTATAGGTAACAAACAGTAAGTAAGACTTAAATTGTGACAAAATTTATATGAACCTAACGTGGGAATAAATTATATTGATTGAAAAAAATTATCCATATCAGTTCTCATTTGATGAAGACATTGCGTAATTTACACGTGGGACGTCAAGCAAATTGTAAAATTCCTTCTTTAAAAATTCGCAAAAGATTTAGTATAGTATAGTGTAGTATAGTATAGCATAATATAGTGTAAAATAGTAAAGTGTAGTGTAGTATAATGTAGAAACTTACTTGGACCTCTATTCCCGGTATAGGAAATATCTTCAGTGGAGGTACATCTCTTGGAGAATACCTGCAGAACTCACGATCTCCTCGGTACCACTTCACTGAATATAGTGTTTCGCCTTCTAGTTCGTAGAGGCACTTCATTTCAACTGTGGACCCTCGCTCCGCCGCTTCCGGGACTATTAAGTGTACATTTTTTAAACTTAGCGTTTCTGAAACAAAAATATTATAAGTCAATGTTGCACTATTTCGTAACAGCTAAAGCTCTCTCTAGAACTGCAGTATTAAATGCCAAAATATACAATATGTTCATTTTTCTCTGACTAAATCCCAATATATAGTTAAATTAGATAATAGTAATGTTGATTTTATTTATTACATTGTTTTTCTTCGAATCACTTTTCACTTTATGACACATTACCAGCTTATGCCGTTCGTAGAGTTGCTTAATGCACTAATGTGAATACTGTAAGATTAGTATTTTATTTAATTTCCTCATTAGTATATGGAATATTATTATGAGATAAAGCAGTCGATACACACAATATATTAGTAATATTATTATTATAGCGCTATTTACAGTATAGAAAGTCATGTCTTGTTAAGAGATAAATTTTAAAGACCAAATATTCTCATTGCAATTTCACAATATAAATGCACACACATTATGTACTTACGCTTCTAAAAACAACGATCTTAATAACCTTTATACTAAATATAAATACAAATATGCTGTTCCAAAGTGTAGTTTAGATAAAGATTCTTATTTTTCGACTATGGACGAAGGTAATTCTGTACCACCTGCCATTTTGTGTTGCGGAAGCTCTATGCCAGAAATTACCATAATACAATGTAAAGTGCATCTCAGTAGTATAAAAATTCTTCTTGGAAATAGGTATTAAATGATACAATAATATTTTTTTTAAGTTTTATTAAAAAGTATTTATTTCAATTTATTTATTCGCAACAATACCACATTGTGTTGTTATATTTTTTAAAGCGTAACTCTCTAAATAATTACTTAGAAAACAAACGTATTTGAGGTTCGATCTCGCAAGAATATTTAAATATACAATATAATATTAAGAGATTTTAAAAGACATACATCTGTTTTTTCTCGTCACTATATTTCCAAAACATTCAACAACAAACAACATCGACGGGACAATAAGTACATTCTGAGTCAATAAACTACTTTACTTGAACACTAACTATGCTCGCGATATCATGCGCGAAACTGGTACATTTGAGACTTAGATTAAACAACCGTTTACTTCATAGTATATTGATGATGATCGATTTAGTAGTTAAATAATAACAAAGAAATAAACTCGCATTCATGTTTATAATATTAGTAAGCATTAAAATAATATCAATCACTCATTTGAACTAATTTTGCTTCGTTTATGCTCCTACATGAACTTTGGTCCTTCATGTAACTAACGTAACGTAACTCTTGATCAATTATATGTACTTTCATACATATCTATCACACCTGTCTCCCATTATACGTATACAATATTAATTATTATTATAATATTATTATGTAACTATGACTTCTCTAATAACGTTCAGATCAAATTAATTCTACCTAATTATGGCAACAAAGAACCCTCAAAATGTAATAGGTATCTTTATATTACCATTTAATATTAATAACTTGCGATGATACTGACTAATATTTAAACAATAATGCAATTAAATATTTCCAAAAATGAGTTCAATCTTGTACGATTAATATAGAATCACCAGTATAGAGATATATAATCTGTGAAGGACCAAATACAAAAGAAATTAGAATAACATAAAAGTGTTTGCCTGTTTGTTTTTATAATGTTTAAAGTAATTTCCATGAAATTTAACACTTTCATTATTTATTCAGTTACATTTAATAATATTTGGTCTGGAAAAAGAAACAAGGAATATTTACATGAGTGTTCTTTGATTTTTCCTGTACAATCTTGATATTTACATATTGCCTGTTTCGCATTACTAAATCATCTGAATACGACATACAAGTGACGTGCTCTAATTGGGCTATGATACGAGTCTTTTCTAAATGGTAGCTTCCAAGTAACTCACTTCAGTAGAAATTCTTAAAGTACTCATATTTACATACTACGAAAGTACATCAAGTGTTTTAATAATTTAAATATACAGACTTTGCCTTATTGCACTACTATAGAATGGGCCACTCCTTCCTTTCCTTTGTGTGTCGTAAGAGGCAATTAAGGTAACTTAATGGTTGAGGGATGATCAGCAGCAGCCGAATTAAAACAACCAAAACCTAACTGCAGTTACCAACCAGCCTACTAAACATGGAAACTACTAGCAAAATTCCCATTATAAAGAAGGCTTTTATTCAGCAGTGGGCAGTTAACGGCTGATATAATAATAATACTAATTTGTATTCTATTATATTATGGCCATGTAATCCCGGCATAGAATAAACCACCCCTTTCTTTCACATAAGTGTCCTAAGAGGCGACTAAGGGAGAGCGAGGGATGAGCAGCAGCGTCCCTCTTAAAACATCTCTATAGCCTAACTGCGGTTGCCAATCTGCCTGCCAAGCATGGCAACTACTGGCAAAATCCCCCCAAGGGGAGGCTCGTATTCCGCAATGGACCGTTAAAGGCTGATAATAATGATGATGAAAATACTGTTATAAAACGGAAAGGTATTTGTACACTCTAATTTCTGAAAATATCCATCGGAATTGAAAAGTTATTTTTGCGTTTGTCAACTCATTTCTTGATGAATTATAAGTTATAAACTATTCAATATATGTCGATGCATAAATTAATCAGTTCCCACCAAAATATGACATTTGCATGCTATTCTGTAAATGGCTAAATAGGTTCGAAACTTTGTGTAATATAAGATCACCAATATCTACCTTATTTAATGCAAATAAATTTATTATTAGTTATACGAATACGGGCGAAGTCGCGGGATATAGCTAATATATTTATAAGTAGGCCATGTATAGCCATCAATCAATATAATTTCGATAAACTCATCAACTTTTATAAGTTTATCGACATCTGTCTGTTAGGTCGGTCTATGTAATAACCCAAATCGATTTCATGAAATATAAATAACATTAAAAACTTGTAAATACCTTTACTAACAACATCAGACATTACGTACTATCAAAAGGGTAATGAATAAAGAAGGTAAATTCCGAAGTAAAATAGACATTAAAACAATCTTACAGATAAATTCTTAGAAATACAAATACAAAGCCTTCGCGAAGAAAGCCGTGAGGTTATAACTCGCAAAAGAATTTTTACTTATATTATAAACTGTCTGCGTTGGCTTCATAGGTATACCAATAAAGAAAATGAAACCAAATCTTCCTTTTCATTCACTCACTCACTTTTTTAAATGTATAAATATTTTTTCATTTTTCCGTTCGATCTTTCAAATAAAAAAAATATTTCAAATCGTTTATAACTGACGCAGTTATGAGGTAACTAAAATAAAAAAAATAACTGAAACTGAAAATCGAACCTCTTTCTTTTTGAAGTCAATTAAAAAATATAAAAGAATTAGCCACTCTGAATGGATGCACTTACATACATTCGGCAATTGATTCTTATTTGTATAGATGTGAAGTGTAGTTTTTGGCACCATAACGACTCAAACTAATGTGGGTGTCGTTAGAGGCGACTAAGAAAATTTAATGGTCGGAGGATGGGCAACAGCGTCCCTCTTAAAACACTACCAAAGCCTAACTGCGGTTGCCAATCTGCCTGCTAAGTGTGGCAACTACTGGCTAAACCCCCCATATAAGGGAAGAACTGTATTCAACAGTAGACAGATAATGGATATGATCATGATGATATAAATGCTAGTAATAAAATAGAATTATTTTCTTCATGTACCAATAAAAAACCTCACTCGTACAAATGATGTCAGTAAAACTATCATGCAAGTCATCTAACGTGACCAGTCAGCCAACCCACATGCTCCCACATACAACGTGTAATTCAACAATTCTCCAGGTGAGTAGTAAAAGTTTAACACAGATTTATTGCGTCTCTATTTATGTCGACTATTTACACGCGTGAATTTCAAAAGTAAGAAAACCAATACAATATAACGTTTCTAGATTGCCTATCCAGATAAAAAGTCCACAAAATATTAAGTTAGCTTTCAGCAACAGAATTACGAAAATTTCCTTTAATTACATCTAGTACTTAAACATACAGACAGATAGTTTGTAAAATATATTGTTTTAATATTTATTAGTCTAATTAATCCCTTCTGAATTTTTCTCAAATATCTCCCATGCTCAGACTTCGTCTAGTTACAATTTTTATATCTAGTATAGTCTATCTATCTCTAGTTAATAGTTTCCAAAACTATTAACTAGATGTATTATTAAATTCAAAAGAAATATAAACTTATTTAAATTAAAGTAAATCCGTATCAGCTGTAAAGATTTAGAAGACTGTCGCATCCATTTCTGCTATCGTTTCATAATCTTATTTCTGATTTATCTCCCTTGATCGCTAATGACGTAGAAATACCATATGGTGGTGGTAATTATATACATTGTCAAAAACAGACTTGTCTCCTAAAAGAAGAGTATCATGTTATAATGAGAATATGAAACACGAGAAAAACAATGTCTCAAACAGATGTGCATAATGGAATATGGAAATACACAAATTACGAGTGGAAACACATTTAGGAATGCAGACAATAAAAATACAGTATTTCTTTAGGTGTATTAAAATTCTCATTTACTCACTTGTTACTTTAACGTTGTTTCAACTTTGATGTTTAATTCAAAACAAGAAGGTAATTCGGTTTATAAAAAATAAATGTTATACATTGGTAAGCGTGTTATTTGAGAACGGTTCAATCGTTTTTTTTTTAATGTTCTTAATAGTCCAATTAAGGTTATTAAAGAAAAAAATATTTAAAGTTTGAACAAAATAATTGGCAGGTTAGTCAGTTTTGAATTGATAAAAAGTCCGTAATTATGTTGCGCATAATCTATCCACTTTTACCTACTTTGCGTCATGTATAACTTATATGAAAAAACTTTTTTAAAAAGATAAGTAGCTATATAGGCAATCAACCTTTTTACACTACATACTCGTTCAATAAAAAACAAAAAAAATGGATATACGCATTTCTGGTATTATATTTAACTTCATTTAAGGATAGTACCTACTCGTTTGTATAACAATATCATTT